AAAGGTTATTTTTGAAAAAAAAAAAAAAACAACTTGAGTACTCTCTGGAAAAGAAATTGACAAAATATATTCGTGATAGGAATGTTTATTGTTGACTATTTTCAGTATTGCTTCCTGGGGAAAGGAGGGAGAGGGGTACAAAGTGTTTTGTTTACTTCAGACTGCCTTTGAGAAGCTTTCGCTCGTTGCTTCAGAGCATTGACAATCAGAATGTCCTCGGGTGGAAAAAGGAGAAAGGAAAGGGAATGAAAACTAGAATTGATTTCCCCAAATGCTCTGTAGAAGTGCCATGTTGTCTTGTGTATGTACCTAAGTTAACTCATGCAGTCTTTAAAAGCAATATCTCCTCTGATAAGGACAATATAAGGACTTCCTTTGTTATGCTTTTTTTTAAAGTTGTGAATATTTGAGGATTTGAGGTCATTTTCCTGTACAGATGCATATTAGATTATTCTCACCTTAGGAGCATTGGGTTTATCCACTTAGTGGAAGTAACCATAAGCATTTAGTTTCATGTGAATGTACATAGAAAGAGACATGTTTTCCTTCTATCAGCAGTAGCATGTAAAATTAGCACTATACATGACAATATTATTGGGATTATACATAAAGGTTATTGATAAATTCTTTCATTTTGCCAAGATGTTTTTAACTAATGATACAGCTGACCAATATATCAAACATTTCTCTTTAAAATTTACATGATTTTTTTGTGGAATTACACAATTAGTGTCTTTTTTAGCTGAGCGTACTTTTGTTCTATTGGTCAGACAATCAGTGACAGTGAATGAGTTTTTCCAGTGTTGCGTTTCTGCTCTCTATCAGTAGTGTGGCTTCAAATAACAAGCCAAGAAAGTGCAATTTCTTTGACTGTTTACATACTCTATGTATATTTTTCCTCTTTCCTTTTTTAACTAAGAGCACTACATTATTGCCAGTGGATGATTAACTTTATAGCAAAGGTGCACATAAAGACTTATTTATCTAGTTTGCATGACATGTAACCTTTGCCTGTTGCCTCTGATATTGTGCATATGAAAAACAAAACATCAAAAACAAGACTTCAAAACCATAGAATGTCAGCTCAGACTTTTTGCCTCTATATCCATGATAATAAAAGCATTTTATGTCTACCAGTACTAAACCCCGCAGATGTTCATTGTATCAGTTACAAGGCCTCCTTGCTGTGTGTGTGTGTGGTGGTTCGGGGGGAGTGTTGCAGTGATGTTAATCAGCTTGAGGTAACAGTGCTATCTAGTGGTGTTAGATTGCATATCTCATGCTGTGTTGTCCTCCATAATGACCCACAATAAAGGATGCTCTATCAACGGAACATGGTTACAAGATGGGGGAGGGCTGCAGCTTGCTCTGGAGGTTTATTCTCCTCTTTCTGCCCTTTACAATATCGGAGGGCATCCTGGGATTTTTTGATCTGAGCTAAGAGGAGCAAGGAGCTTAAAGGAGACGGAGTATGCAGTTAGGTATTAAAATTTCAGGTTGTGAGTCTTCACTTTCTTTGCAATCTGACATGTGCAGGTAGCTTCCTGTTACATTTTAGTCAAGAACAAATAGAGGACATCAAATTTATGTTAAAGATTTTCTGAGTGATAAGCCCCCTGCATTTTTACACAGCACATGCTAATCTCCTGAATAATAATAAGTTCAATAATATGACTCAAACAGGTGAGCAAGTTTGGTTTATACTGATCATTTTATTTGGTGTATTTACAAACAAGCACATGCAGGAAGGTGGACAGTGACTGACACTAGAGGGGCACTCAACTATATGCAACAATGGGATACGTGTATGGGTGGGTTCTACAGGCTACATGAGACCAGAGGAGAGAAGCAGAGGAGGAGGATAAGGAGAGCGAGATACAGAACTCATTGTTACGCTTACACACATAAGTGAAAGTGCAGGATGTGCAGACACAGCTGTGCTCCCACTCATCTCTGCTTTCACTGCCACGTGCCCGCTCACACACACACTCACACATAAAGAGCCCAGAGAGAGAGCCGTTCCTTTCAGAAACCTCAAGATCAATAAATAGTAGATCCAATAAATTAACAGCTTTCAAACAAATGCATTTAAACGATCACCTCGCATTTTAAAAAAAAATCTGCACAAAAAAGCTTTAATACAATGAGTCAGCTGATATTTTATCTTTACTTTGTATTGTAATTATTTCTGGGAATTATCCATTTGATGGCAGCTTATTGTAAACTCCAGTTTTACATCATGAGCATTAGTTTAACTTGATGCTGCTGCCATAGTGACAGTAATCTCATGCTACACGATATTGACAAAATAACATGAGGAAACTGAA